TCTCAGTTCTGTCCCCACTGTGACCTCTTAAAGTGCCCACCCAGTCCCACTGCACACTCATGACAAGGCTATAAGAACAGTTATAAAACACTAACCACACTTATTACTGTCTATATGCCCAGAAATCAATGATTGTTTCTGTGAAGGCTATTAAACTTACCTGTTCTACTGGAAGCAATAGTTAATCTATGTGGGGACATGTGACCCAAGGTGAACCAATGAGCACATTTTCTGAGATGGATAAAGGATAGTGACTGTGTTAGTTATCCATCGGTGTTTCATAACCACCCCAAACATAATAGTTTTGTTCTGTTTTGGTTGGTTGTGGGGCTTGAACCCTGGGCCTGGGCTCTATCCTTCAGCTCTTCAGCTCAAGGCCAGTACTCTACCACTTGAGCCACAGTGCCACTTCCGGTTTTCTGAGTGGTTTATTGGAGATAAGAGACTTGTGGACTTTCCTGCCGGGGCTGGCTTTGAATCACAGTTCTCATATCTCAGCCTCCTGAGTAGCTAGGATTACAGGTGTGAGCCACCAACGTCCGGTCCCAAACTTAATAGTTTTGAAATAACCATTTTTATTCTTCATGATTCAATGGATTTGTAACTTAGCCTGTGCTCTGTTTGGCTAAGTCTATAGCCTGTGGTCACTCGGTGGCTGTGGTCTTCTGGTGGTTCAGCTGGGCTGGATGATCTAAGATGGCTTTGCTTGCCTGGAAGCTGGTAGTGTTCACTGGGCCACATGTGGGCTAATTCGGGCTTTTCTACATGGAGACTGGATTCCCAAAGCAGCAATGTGCAAATGCTCTGTAAATTTTTAAGATTTTTTTTAAAAAGAAGGCATTTGTTGTAACTGAGTAATGTTTAAATGCTCTTTATTTATTAAAGAAACAAGCTGTTTCTTGAAGTGCTGTGAATTCTTCCTCTTAGTTTATAATTTCACTTTGAGATTTGTCACAAATTTAGATTTGTTACAAGCTTAAATTTTACCACAGAATTTTACATAAATGGAATCATTCCCTATGTATACTTTTTGTCTCCTTCTTTCAAGAGGTATAATGATTTTGAGAGTCAAGATGCTGTGCTTACCAGTAGTGATTCCCTATTATTTCTTTTTTTTTTTTGCAAAACACCAAATCTATATTTACATCCACATAACATAACTTTAAGCTGAAGTATAAATAAAACAATGTCTACTGTTTGACAACTTAAATATCAACCATTAAAATAAATCAAACTGGGATGAAATAAATAAACAAAAAATCCAATGAACTGTACCTCTACATATGTACTGTTGTCCCATAGGAAAAAAAATTACAAAACCAGTAGTATCCCAATAGTTAATACTGATGGACCAAAAAATAATAATATTCTGAAGTACAAAGGGCTGTCAAAACCGCTGGTTTTCTGCATTCAGAAATGTAGTTGAAAAGGAGAGATCTGAAAGCCCCAATTTCAACAGAACATATACTGATTTATTTTCAAATAGATTTGGTGATTTTTTTAAAATACAAGTTGAATTTCAGCCCACTATCATCACCGACCTCCCTATTATTTCTTATTCCCTATTAAAATGTACCATTTTTATCTATTCATTTGTTGAACAACAAATAAAGCGGCTATAAATTTCATGTACTACATTATATAGTTTCTTTCCTTTTGGGTAGATACCTAAGAGTGGAATGGCTGGATCATACAGTGGGTGTTTAGTGTGTGTGTGTGTGTGTGTGTGTGTGTGTGTGTGTTTGTGTATACGCGCGTGCACACACGTGCACTAGTCCTAGGGCTTTTTCTTGGGGCCTAGGTGCCGTCCTTGTGCTTTTTTTGCTCAACATTAGTGCTCTATCATTTGAGCCACAGTTCCACTTCCAGCTTTTTGGTGGTTAATTGGAGATAAGAATCTTACACACTTCCCTGCCTGGGATGGTTTAGAACCATCATCCTCAGATCTCAGCCTCTGATTAGCCAGGATTACAGTCATGATCCACTGACACCTAGCGGATGCTTAATTTTTTGACTATCAAACTGTTTTTCCAAAGTGGTTGTACCATTGTACATCCTTACCATCACTCATGAATTCACATGTCAGTGGATTTGTAACCCACATAAGGCTCAGTTAGGTTAGTTTTTGATTAGTCTTGCTGGGCAGCACTTGTGATGACCAGTTGTACAATTTTATCTGTATCAACTGGTCTATAATGGTGTCTCAGTGTGGTTATAATTTGTTTTTCCTTGATTACTAATGATGGTTAACATCTTTTAATGTGCTTATTGGCCATTCATTTATCTTCTTTTCAGAATTGTCTAGTCAAATCTGTGCATATTTTCTTCTTGAATACACTACTGAGTTTAAAGAGTTCTTTTTATATTCCAGATATAGATCCTCTGATATATATGTGTGTGTTTTCAAATAATTTATCCTCATCTGCAACTTACTTTTATATTTTTTGGATATATCTTTAATTTCTGTGAAGTCCAGATGATCAGTTTCTTTCTTGTATGGTTTGTGCTTTTTGTCTTCTATCACAGAGACTTTTCTCCTATGTTTTATTTCAGAAATATTACAGTTTTAGAGTCTACATTTAGTTTGGTGAACCATTTTAGCTAATTTTTGTATATGTGGTAAAATAAGATCCATGTTTTTCCACCCAGATAATCCACTGGATCCTCACTATCTATTGAAAAACATATAATTCCCTATTATTTTTCTTACACTTTTATCTAAAACAAATGGGCCATATGTGTGCAAATCCATAACACAATTAGTACTATGTGTTAAGTTCATTGTTTTGTTATATGCAATATGTCTCAGAGGCATTTCACACTCTTTTTTTCATAGAACTTTCCTGGCTATTCGTTACTTTAGCATTCTTTTTGTATTGAGATATAATTTAGGTATTATAAAATTCACCATTGGGGAGGTAGTAATGGAATTGAACCCAGGGGCTTTTAGTTGCTAGGCAGGTGCTCTACTACTTAAGACATACTCCTAGCCCCTTTCTCCTTTAATTATTTTTTCAGCTAGAATTTCTAGTTTTTGCCTGGGGCTGGCCTCAGACCATGATTCTCCTACTTATACCCTCTTATAGGCGGAGGCCACAGGTGTACACCACCATTCCTGGCTTATTAGTTGACTAACATTTTCCCCTAGGCTTACCTCAAATTATAGTCATCCTGTCCACCTACTAAGTAGCTGGGATTACAGTTATGAGCCACTATACCACTTTATAGTTTACACTTCAGGAGGGTATAGTAGTGTATTTCTGTAATTTCAGCACCTGAGAGGCTAAAGTAGAAAGGTCTTGAGTTTGAGGCCCAGTTGGACTACACAGTTATTTCTAGGCTAGCCTGGGCTACATGGCTAGATGCTCTCACAAACAAACAAGCAAACACACACACTTCAGTATATTACTATGTTGTACACGATCATCTAATTCTAGAATATTTATATTATCTCCAAAGGAAAGCTCATACCTATTAGTAATTACTCCAATTGCCTGTTCTACCTAGTCCCTGGCAAGCACTAATGTATGCATTTGCCTACTCTAAATCTTTTATATAAATGAAGTTTTACACTATGTGACCTTTTCCTTTACTTAGCATAGTGTGTGTGTGTGTGTGTGTGTGTGTGTGTGAGTGTGTATTGTGTGCCAATCTTGGGGTTTGAACTCAGGGCCTGAGTGAGTGCTCAAGGCTAGCATTCTTACCACTTGAACCACAGCTCCACTTCTGGTTTCTTTTGGTTGTTAATTGTGTGAACATATGTTTTCAGATTTTAGGATACATATTCAGTAATTGAATGGCTGGGTCACGTGGTAACTCTGTTTAACTTTTTGAGGAGCTGTCCAATTCCACCAGCCATGTATGAATGCTTCAGTTTCTTCACATCCTACCAACACTGTTTTTATTATTATTGGTATTATTAGAGCCCTCCTAGTGAGTGTGAAGCAGTATCTACTGTGGTTCTGAGTGCATTTTCCTAATAACTAATGATGCTGGACATCTTGTTATATTCTTATTGGCCATTTGTATCTCTTCTTTGGAGAACAGTCTATTTAAATCTTTGGCTATTGTTTTTAAGTAAAATAAGTTATTTATGTATTCTGAATACCAGATTTTATCAGGCCTTTACCATATAATTTGCAAATATTTTTTAAATTAATTTACTTTTTTATTGTGAAAATACCGTAGAGAGGGGTTACAATTACATGGGCAAGATGACAAGTACATTTCTTTTTTTTTTTTTTTTTGGTCTGGTCGTGGGGCCTGAACTCGGCCTGGGCGCTGTCCCTCAGCTCTTCAGCTCAAGGCTAACGCTCTACCACTTGAGCCACAGCGCCACTTCTGGCTTTTTTCTTTTTGATTATGTGGTGCTGAGGAATCAAACCCAGGGCCTTATGCATGCAAGGCAAGTGCTCTACCACTGAGCCACCTTCCCAGCCCAAACAAGTACATTTCTTACCAACAAATATTTTATTTTCATTCTGTGGATTATCTTTTCACTTTTTGATAGTTTGTATTTTAATATTACATTTTTATTATATTTAAGTAGCTGTGCAAATGGATTGCCATTTAATAAATCAGTTTATGAGCAGAATGCATCTTAATCTGTTGAATGACTTACACAAGGCCACACAACAAGTAGGTGGTAGGTGAAGATGTCACTGCATTCCAAGGATTTAGCCTGACTGAATTCAGACCTCTATCATTTTTGTCAATTTCCAAAAACTATTTGAGGGTCTAAGAAAATTGTTCTTAGCATTGAAAACTTGCATTTGCCTGGGAACTGACTGTGTTGATCAAAATAAGAAATGGGGAAATATTAGGCAAGATTTCAACAAGAAAAACAAAGAGAGGGACATAATGATCAAATGAGAGAAAAATAAGGTTCAGATCATTGGAGACATACACTCACGCCCTAAACCCTCAAACCTTCAGAGCTTCCTGCCTAGGAACCAAAAGGGGGAGTGCAAGTTTCTCAGTGCTCTTAGAAGGTGCTTTCTCAAAGGCCCATGGTCCTCCACTTCCTGGAGAGGCAGCATCAGAACAAAGCCAGCAGAGACTCCTTCACAGCCTCCTTTCTTCTCCATTGTCCTATCCATAGTTGTCTTGGCTTCGGCATCTTGGCACAGTCCTGGGAGAAGGACAAGATGAAGTGGAAGATACTTGTTCTGGTGGCCATAATGCAGACACAGTTCTCCAGTACAGGTAAGTCTGATGTCTCTTTTGGGGCTGAGGAGTGTTGCAAAGATCATTCAGAGGTAGTGAGGAGATGTGGAGGAGCTGGTATCTCCTTTGAGTTCTATCCTTCCCAAATATTGGCTACTTGGCAAGGAGGAATCTGGCCTAATGCAGGAATCTGCTTTGTGACAGCCAAGCTGGGCATGGATTCAAAACTAGCCGTTTGACAGCATGAGCACCCACGTATACATTTTCCAGTGATAAAGGAAGAGGGGCAGTCCTTCATAAGGAAGGTCAGGAGAAAGGAAGGAAAAGAGCAACGGAGGCAGGCAAGCATGGAGAAGCAGAGTGCTTAACAGAAGCTGGATCAGAATATGTCAGTTAGGCTGTATTTTGTGTGACATTTTTCCAGTTGCTAGGTCTTCCTCCACCCTCTCACTATCACCATCACTCTGATCCTTTCCTTTCTCCTTTGTCAACAAAGAATGTTTTGCTGGTTCTAGCCTGGGGCCTCCTTGGCCTGAAACACTGCCAGGACAGTGACTAAGTAGGGTTGAGGAGGGAGGGAAGTGACTTGAAGAGGAAGTACCACGTTTGCAGCCTTCCGCAAAGCACTCGTTTTACCACCTTCTGGCCCATAGGGTCTAATGTCTTGGCTTAGCCTGTCATGGCTGCCCCTGAGCCATGGCAAAGGGCTACCCTATGACACACCCATCCTTGGCTCAACAACTCACCCATTATCCCTTGCCATAGGCGGCTCTGCTACTGAGCAGAAAGGCAGAGATGCTAATCGAATGTAGGAAACCCATGAGAAGAGTCAAGTCACCACCACAAACAATAACCACCCCAGAAGAGAACTTGCTCTACACCTCGTTCCAGTTCATGGAGGCTTGGCTTTTCTACATGGGTTAGCTTCCACCAGGCTTTCTAACCAGACTCTGGAGAGGTGAATAAGTAAAAGGAACACAGAATGCACTGGTGTTATGACGCTTTTGCATCACAAGAGATGAGATGTATTTGAAGCTAAAGAAATAAGAAAAGCAGCCATGAACAATCTTTCAAGCTCTACCTTACAGCTCAGCTAGGCCATTAACACATTTCTCTTCCTGCCAGGAGGTTGTTCCTGATAAGGAATATGCAGAGCCCTGGGCTAGCACCTCTCTTGGTGGTTCCATGGGTTTGGTAATCGTGGGGTTTTCTATAAGCTTGTAGCTCTCTTCTCAGAAAGGCCTTGGTGGGTATGAGTCACACTATGAATGGTGCTGTGGGGTCAGGGGACCAGAGTGAGTGCAAAGTAGGCTGGCTATACTCCTGGGCAGGGGACAAAGATCCCTCACAGCCTGGGATTCAGGGTTTTATGGAGACCTTGGGAGCAATAGCCCCGGACCTCAGGCTTGGGAGATTGCCTGAGGGACCTCATTTAAACGTGGGTGTTTTCTTGCAGTTCCTCACTGGTCCGTTTGCATCAGGCTGTGGGGTTGCAGTAGAGGCAAAGCAAGAGGAGTGGCTGCTGGAGTGGTAATGGCTGCCAAGTGCAGTCCATGAAACAAAACCCCACACAGAGGACAGGAGAAACATGCCTGTTTCCACAGTATGGGGCAGAACTTCAGGTCCACTGGACTTTGTACTTCTTTGTGCCATGTGTGGCTTCTGTGGCGATGAGAATTTTTCTTTTTTAAAATTTTAGATAAAGCTAATAGGCAAAAGTTTAAAAACTGTCCTAACACAAAACAAAGTGAAATAAGGCAAGGGGAAAGACTTGAGGGGCCTCTAAGATGGGAGACCCATGTGCCCACCTACCTGAAAGGAGCCGTCTTCCTGTCTGCTGGGCAAAGACTGTCCACAGAACAGCCGTCAAGGTCATCTCCATTTTCTGTTGTTTTTTTCTTATATTAACTTAAAAAAAAACATAGGTCTTTCCTATTTTCTTTGGAAAAGCCGAGATACTTGGGATCAACACCAGTGATGGCCTTAGTTAGCTTATATGTCTGCCAAGGTGGTTTCTTCTTCATGGGGCTGGAATAAACAAAGATAACATAGCTAGTGGCAAGAATACTTTAGCCTGTGAACCCTTAGTGTCTCTAATTCCCTGTGCACCTAGTGGTCAGCATGGTCTTTGTCCTTTCTACATAAGAAAAGGTTTCTCTGTCATTAAGTTATGCATTTTGGAAGACACTTGCTAGATATGCAACCTTGGACAAATTACTGAACCTCTCTGGTCCTTAGATGTCTTGCCTCTCTAGTAAGGAGAGTATTACTTCCTTTGTAGAGATGTGAGGATAGAAAGAGAATGTAATGTGCCACAGGTAAGGGTGTGTGTGTGTATGTATGTGTGTGTAGATAGAAAGATAGATGATAGATGACAATATAGATACAGATGTATATATCTTATACAAACAATAAGTGGATGTTGAATTCAATATTACTATTAGTACATCTTGAACTGAATTTTTGTAAAACTAGAAGAGGAGATAAAAACTCATGGCTAGGATTCTCAGTTTTCTCTTGATTATGTTATAAAGTAGCAATGGCTATTTCCTCTATCGGCTAATATCTAGTTCATCCCTGTTCTAAGTTCTGAGCACACCCACCCAACCCAGAAAACACAGGCCTGATCCCAGTGGTGGGCCCAATGGAGACTGAGGTTCAAAGCTTGGAATGGACATAGGATAAACATTACATCGACCATTATAATTTTTTTGAGTCTCGTGTGGGTGAGTATTCCCCCAAAGTGAAAATATGCCTGGAAAAAATAAAATGTATAATAGTGAAGCGGGGAGAAAACTAGAAACAAAACATACTTATTGGTCCTTGATCAGTGTGGCCTTCCAGATTAAGACTGAGAAGTTTTAAAGACACAAACACTAAATCTTTGTTGAAAATGCTGGAAAATAGAGAGGTGAAGGAGATGCTTTTAAATTATGCAGGTACAAGGTTTTTAATAAGTGGTGTTTTCACACTGGTTTATTTTCAACCTCTAGCAGCCTTGCTCTGCATTTCTAACATGCTGCTTGATTCTCCTACTGTGGCCCTTCTGAGACTTGCTGGTCTAGAAACCAGCAAGATGCTGACAAACACATGCAGAAAGTTCTAGGATGCTCTACCTTAGGTACTGTGAGTGCACGCTACAATATTCACTTCTGATTCCTTTTATTTTTTGCTTTTATGGTCTTTGGAGTTTATTTGTTTGTTTGCCTTTTTTTGTGTGCTGGTTCAGGGGCTTGAACTAAGAGCCTGCGCACTCACTGTCCCTTTGCTTTTTTTGCTCAGGGTTAGCATTCTACCACTTGAGCCACAGCTTCACTTCTGGCTTTTTGGTGGTTAATTGGAGGTAAGAGTCTCATGGACTTTCCTGGCATTGAAGTGTGATCATCAAAGCTGAGCCTCCTGAATAACTAGGATTATTATAGGCATAGGCCACAAGAGCCTGGCTGCTTTTGTATTATTTTTTAAATCAGATTTAATTTTTATTGGCTATAAAGATACCCAGCACTATGTCTTACATTTTATTTGGAAGAAATGAGTCTCCAAAGGGAACCCAGACATGCATTTCGGGAATCTTTGTGTGTGTGTGTGTGTGTGTCTTACATTAACTGAAAATATAAATTCCAGAAAGAGCTCAAAATAGATTTTTTAATATTGTTTAAGCTAAAGCTAGTTCTTATTCACATTAAAAGGATTGTAAATTTAATCTACTTGAACATTCAGTCAATATAGTTAAAAATAATTAAAATCATTTGACCAATTAATTAAACTACTTTTAGTCACTATCTGCACTAGTCATGTCTCAGTCTAAAAACCAACGTAGATCTCTGAGAAAAAGGATGTGTCTGTCTTGCTCTCAGATGTTTCTTTAAGTTTAGATCTGTACCTAGAAGAGAATCACTGCACAATAAATATCAATAAATTCTTGGTGCATGAATTAAAAGAGGGGTGAATGAAGGAAATGTAGATATTTCTGTATAATTTTTGGGTCTACTGTATTGGCATTATTTGAACCTTACTTCTAGATAGCAATATTAAACAATGTATTTGGAAAAAAAGAAAACTAAACAATAATTAGGAATTAAACTGACAAAGGTGAATAAATGGTTCAAAGTGATTGGTGAGGTCAGCTTAAGATGAAAGCCTGCCATTATTAAATTTTTTTGCTTAACCACATGAAATTCCACTATTTGTTCCTTTTAGAACTGCAAAAAGATAATTTCACATAATTGAGCTAACATTATATCTCAAACATAAAATTTCTCTGATTAGGGAAAAGGAGAAAATAAGAAGTCACCATTAGAAATTGTTCACTAACTAATTAATAAACTAATAAAAGATGCCAAAAAAGAAAAGTGTGTATTATAGCAGAAACCACAGTATGCAATCACCTAACTGCCTTGAAATGTAGAAATAAAATATGTATGGTTAGCAAGATATCTATCTAGCCATGATAGTCAAATTGGATCTAGATTACTAAATAAAGAGTCCAGGCAGCTCTTACTTTTATACTCTCTTAATTTGAGATATTTTAATAAAAATATTATAAAATAATTTGTTAATTTTTTAAAGAATCCATAACAAGCCAGCCCAATGACTTAATATGTGCTTCTTTATGTTCCATTCCAACATTTTTGCTAGGGCATTCATATTTTTTTCCATTTTAATCATAAAAAGTTTCATATGCTTTTCTTCTTAATATTTTAAGCATTGCTTTACATGTTTCACCTTCATGATTATTTCAATTGCTATATAAACTTTACAGAGTATATGCACCCTGTTTTCTTCACTATTTCCTTATTCTTGAACATTTATACTATTTCTAGTGCCTATCGTAACAGTTAATTATACAGAAAAATCTTTACATATAGAGCTCTCATTAATTCCTTGGGCAAATCCAGCGCTGACAATTGAAAGAATGGATTAATGTAAATGAGCATTTCACAGGAGTATTTCACACCACTCCAAATTCCTATTAAAAGTAATGCTATTGAGGAAAGAAAGTGATTTTCTGATTCTCTGAGCATCTGCCAGTGTGTGGG